ACGGAGATGGGAAGATGAAACAGAAGTGGGCGGCGCTACTGGGGGCACTTGGGGGTACGTATCGCTGGTATCTCACTTCCTTCCCATCTTGCCATCCATCCCATCTTGCCATCCATCCCATCGTCCCTTCCATGGATTTCATCCCATCCTTCCAATCCATGATCCATCCCTCTTGCCCTCGTCGTCCGGACCCGCCCCGCCCTAATGGCTACGTACCTAGCCGTGGTGACTGTCTAGTTCCATTGCCGTCGCCTTCGGGGAATTACTGCGTAGGATTTTCCAAGGCACAGAGAGCAAACAAGACCAAGTGATCGACCAAGAGCCGAACAACGAATTAGACGCGCGGTGTTATCATACCATACCACAGGATCAGAGAGGCATTTCTCTCAGCCCTGGGTCCGTGGTTTGCGGGACCGAATGGATAGCCGCGTCCACTTCTCTCTCCTCCCCGAGTGCCCGAGTCCCCCGACAACGCGCACAGTCTGGACTCTAGGGACTTGCAACGCCCCTTCTGGAGTCTGCCCACTGAATACCAGGACCGGATCATCGTCATGGAAGGAGGAAGAAGCCCGGTAGCTGCAGTTGGAGCCAGGCATTGTCACGCTAGAATCTCCCACCAAACGATGTACTGTGCTGATACGGATACGTGTGTGTACACAAATGCCTCTGACCTCAGCAGAGAGCGAGCAATGGAAACGCGCAGAGCCGAAAGTTCAGACGCCGTTTTAAGATTCGTCGATCTCCCCTGGCACTAAACCATTTCGGCCCATCTCGAAAAGCCGAATAGGTGCAGATTCGCGTGTGACGCGCGGGGTTCAGGAGAAGGAGGGGGGATTTACTCGAGTCAATACGGATACCGTCAATCAACTCCCGCGAGTGTGACTACAGGAGATAACCGTACCTCACTGTGATACCTCAGAGGCGAACCGGAACGTAAAATCTAGGGGCACCCAGGGGCTCGGGAGGGAGGCTGTCATCAGCTAGATAACTCGCACTTCAGCTTTTAAACTCGTGTTTAGTTCCGCCTCCGCCGCCACAAGTTCGGCCGTTTGACCAAGACACCAACGACACTTTGTCTCGAAAAGGTGAAGAAGGCAGGCTGGGCTGGGCTGGGCCGGCTAGCTTGCCCGTCTTTCTGATGTCTATCGCCCGAGAGGTTTCGCTTGGCTGCGTCGATTGATCGTCTCGTTGACTGATTGGCGCAAGGGGTAGCGGGAACAATTTGGAGAAGGGGGTTGGAAAGTGCTTGTGTTAACACGGAAGGGGGAAAGAAGAAACAATCTTGTCACTTGAGATCTTAGTCTGAAAAAGAATCGAAAAAATGAGACGAACCGTGATTGAGGCGAGACAAGTCAATCAACTCCTGACTTGCCTCCTGTCGGGCACGCACACCAAACGCTGCCGTGCATACCTTACAGAGTGCATCGAATGTCTGCTGAGATGCATTAGCTAATCCGTTGAAGCACCAGCGAAGGGGTTCTGGAATGACACCGAGCACAGTAAGGTTAAAACGTTTAGGCAAACTGTTTTGAAACCTGGGAAACGCACCTTAACAGCAATTAACTAAGCTGCCAGGTAAGCTTGAACTACAAAGTTGTAACGTACTAAACACATAACTGGGCCGAGGGACCCAGAGCCACGCATGTCCCGGCACCAGGTATCAACTCTTGAGCCTTTCCCACTTGCAACTCCTCGATCCAGTTTCTCCAGTGTACCAAGATCCAGAAATTCCAAGAGTCCAGCCAAGTCCTGGCCCATTCTCTTCTCAACTGTGAGTTGTGATGAGTTTTTATTCGATTGCACTCCAGCACTCCAGTAATCATTTCCCCAGGTTACATTACAGCGAAAGAAAAAAAAAAAAACACAAAAAAAAGTCTTGTTTCTTCGTCGCGGACCAGTTGGTGACCAGGCGTCACGCCCTGCCAAGAAGCCCACTCCAGATCCCACCAGTCAAGCCTGTCAGGTGTCTCCGTATAACCTGTCCCGAGCCGCTGTTTCGTTGTCGCCAATGAAGTCTGGGACATTCCACATGAACCACGCGAGAAGGAAGAGGCGACGTTCGTCTCGTCTTTTCCCCCTCCCTTTCCCTCCAGCCGCATCCGAATTCCAAAAATCTAAATCCGAACTAACCGTCGTCCCTTTTCGTTCCCGATTGCCGATTGGCAGCTGAATATAGCTAAACATCACAAACGCAGCCGCCAGCCGCCCAGCCGCCTTACTGCGTCAAACGTGCATTCTCAACCCTCAGCAGCGTTAGGTTGCTTACTGACTTTTTGGGACCGGCCCCCCCCTTGAACATGCCCCCCATATGTCCCCCCAACCCCTGAATCAGAACGAAAAGAGGACCAGCAAACGACTGGCTCCCATTCATCGCTGACAAGATCCTCGAAAATCTCGCAGCCCAACCTTGTTCTCCACAGTTTCCGCGGTATCTCTCTCTCTCTCCCTCTCTTCAATCCATGATCCACGGATCCCTGCCTTGCTGTGGACTTTCCCTGGTGGCCCGTGAGACGACATCACAGAGGCAAGAAAAGGGGTGGTGGTCTTGACTTCCTGGCAGGCCGGCGTCTAGACTTTCCGACTCGTGGCTCACTGGCCTCTCTGCCCGCCAAAATGTAGCTGGGATCCACCGTCTGCCCGGGACACCCGTCGGATCTCACATTCATTCACATAGAGCCTCACCGGCTCACTCTCATTCATCGTGTTCTCACTCTCCATCACTACCTCTCCTGCGGACCATGACCATGGGCCGTGGTGGCCCGTGAGTTATGAACCCATAAACCCGTAAGATTCCCACCTTCCATGTGGATAATGCACAATCTCGGAGCGACTCCTCTCACACCCATCTCGCTTCTTTCTTGATTTGATCAAAGTTGTTTAATTATGTTTATCCCGCTTACCGGCATCCCCCCTCTCAGCTTTCTGCTTGTGCTCTCTTTTTCTGCTCTGTTTATCGCGCGCAATTCCGTACTGCCTGGTTCCTAGTCATCTACCTTATCCATACCTATAACGGTCGAGGCTCAGCTTGCTACCAGTGGCCGCCGCACAAGTTTTTACCTATTATGTATACAGTATCCATTTTCTGTTGATTACGTCCGAATTGTCCCAGGGTCGTGCTTGCCCATTCATCACCGGGGAAGAAAGCCGCGTCCGAGAAGGACAATCCTATTGTTCTCCCTCCACTGAGGAGGGCGGGGCCCAGTAGATGGTCAGTCAGACACGTTTTCTCTCTCATCAACGAGCATTCCAGCACTGCCCAAAGTGTGACCAGGGAGGAAAGAACAATGGGCAGCGAGAAGTGTACACGAGCAGAGCTGGTCACTGGTGAGACAGGAATCAACATGATAGAAAATGACTCGGGCACAGGCCGAGCCTCAATCGCGTTTCCACAGCCCACAGCCGTACGACGGTCCGCAGCCCGAGAGTGCGCGGCGTCCCCAGATGAAAAATCTTGGTTGCAATTCCAATATCAAGCACTGCGGCACCTCCTCTCTGTGTATCCACCGATGATTAGGTTCGTCTTTCCGCCCACTCGCCCGTCCCGAAGGAAATAGCTTGTTTGTCTTGCACCGCCCACACTCGCGGGTCTCGCAGCAAGACATGCCTACCTCAACTCGCTCCCCCCTTACTGTGTACCGAGTATGTCTGTCTGTTTTGTCCGATGCCTTGCCGCTGCGTCCGCGCCATTTCTGAACTACACGGCCAAAACCTGCCAAGCCAGAATATCTCAGACATTGGTCGAATCCCAGAACTTGAAACTTTCCAGTTCCCATTCTGCTTTTTCACTAGTCGTCAAAAGTCAGACACCGTGTTTTGGTATGCACGTGTGCCCCTCGTACGTGCGCATCCGAGAGAGAAGGGATGTGTCGTACTGCGCCGCGGCTGCTTGCGCAAAACGACTGTTCCCGTCTTGGCGAAAAGGGATCAAGCCCGCCAACGTAGGTAGGCGAGTTAGATGACGTACGTCATGTCGTGGCCGTTTGTTGTTTACTGCTACTCTCCTGATGGGCTCTGCAACCATCCCAAGCCAAAGCTTTGCTTCTTATCCCCCGATCTGGCAACTTTGTCTGGGGTTTCTGGATTGTCTCTGATCGGGCTGCCTGAGCCGACGATGGTTGATACGATCTGTTTCCCTTGCTGGGCATCACCGCATGCTTAATCCATGAAGCTTGACCGGGTGCGTTCGGTGAAAAAACACCATGCCCGCTTTAGCTTCTTGGTCGTGATAAGCTGGCATGTTGTAGACGCTTGACTCTGTCTGAAAGGAGTAGAGCATTGTCTAAACTCTGCAAGACGTGCTTGAGATGGTGTCGTACTATTCACCAGGTATTCTCAATGAATGAAGATACCCTCTTGGCCGCGTCCTGAAATACACCCATCTCTGTAGTATGTTGTCTATGATTTGCTCATAGTAACTCCTCGCAGCAGTCATGCGTCGAGGTCAGTTGTCAGGTGCCACGACTACACTAAGTGCAACCACACCAGCCAACCATAGCTTGCTACGAGAACATCACATCGGACGACTTGAGGCATCAAGGCGAGAAACTTGGTGGCAGAGAGGATAGGTTTCTTGATGATTCAAACCCCGCCGAGGGAGGAGCGGTTCCAGCCTGTAAGAAGAGCAGGAGCAAAGAAGAGAGGGACACGATTTGCGTCACTCCTCTTACTCAACTCGGAGTCCCTCCACTCCGTCTCCTATGCATTTCCCCGACTCCTACTTCGCGGGAGCTAAATCACACCTACTATTACACCACACCCCAAAAAAGTCTCTATGCAAAGGGCCAAACCTATCACTCCCTCCATAATACAGTTTTCCAGCGTTCATTGGTTGAATATTCCAGGTAAATTGAATACTGGGCTGGGGCTATACACCCTCCCTTACTTCGCTCTCATTTTTGGAGTTTCTTTTGATACACGGTATTGTACACACGCCAAAGACCTCGTGGGTATCTTTTACACTTTTTTATGGGTTGAGTCGTTTCTGGCAGATTTCTCTCTGTTTATGACTCGTTGATCTTGGCGAGGATCCTAGGTGAAGGGAATCACGTTAGTGACCTTGTCTTTCTTTTGGTATAACACATCGAACTGATTGCTGGCTGAAAGGGTTTGTGTGGTAAAGGGATTGGTGTAAACTTACTCGCTGTCACGGAACAGGTGGTACTCCTCCTCACCGACCTTGACGGGGGAGCCGCCGAACTGCATCACATCTTGTCAGCCCATCGGATCCATATGTTGTGCTCGTTCAACTAAATCGCCCATCCTGTCTTCACCCGCCCCCATCATCTCATTACTCAATTTCCACTTCCGCCGACATTATGCGGCGAAAGAAATGTCAAGAGGTGCCGGCTACTGCGCATTCCCGAGTGTCACCACCTTTCACAGGCCAGGTCGCGGAAGTAGGGAAGCAGAGAAGCGGGTAGGATCGATGACTGGCGCCGCAGTTGAGGTTGCCGTCAGGGATCGAAAACGTACCTGGGGAATCAGGACGCGGTCACCAGAGGCGACACCCATGGGCAACCGCTTGCCGTCTCTGTCGAGGGCACCGGGGCCGACGGCGAGGACCTTGGCCTCGTTGAGCTCCTTGACGGAGGACTCGGGAAGGAAGATGCCGCTGGCGGTCTTGGTCTCAGCCTTGACGCGCTGCACGAGGACGCGGTCGAGAAGGGGCGCAAGGGCGCGGATGGAGCGGAAGGAGGCAGACTGCAATGCGTCTTGTCAGCGAAATGGTTTTGCGAGATGTTGCATTGCTGGCAATGGCGGCAGACAATATCAAGGGCTAACATGGGGATGCCCGTCGTGCTGCCGAGTTAAGGGGAAGGCTGCTGCCGGAATTGCGGCGTAGAATTGAGGGGTGCCAACGTACCATTGTGACTGTTGTGATGGAATTGACAGCGAAAGCGGCAACTTTGGTCTGTTTGGAGGGATTGGGCGGATGACGATCGGTGAAGTGTAGAGTCGATACGGGGGACGAACTTTAAGCCTTGAAGCTATTCCAAGAGCTTCCAGAATGTCAACAATTTTTTGGGCCGATCGGCCAAAGGATTTCCCGAACGCCCCACCGTTACATACCCCTGGATATCGTCCGATTGGCTGTATATGCCGAGGATGAATGAGGTACTTACCAATCGACCATATCGCATTTGACGTACGGACACAGACCATCCACGGATGAAGATGAGTTGCTACCTTACTGAGACTTGCCTCAGGACGGGACATCTCGTGATATCACTTCATCACGATGAGCTAGGCCAACATATTGAGTCTTTTCTGAATAGTATTATCTACCTATCTAATTCAATCGCTTGATCCAAGGCCGTGAGCGGAGCCGCAGCAGCATCTACAAAACCTCAAGACGGACTCCGATACCACCCAAGCTCCAATATCATCGCTGTGTCCCCAATCACGAGGGGCTCATGTCATTCCAAGTGTCTTCCACATCCTGTCCCATTCCAAAACCCCATCTACAACCGGTTAAACGCCTTTCAGACATGCAATTTGTGTTGACCGCGCCCGTGCTGTGAACCCTACTTCGGGGGCTGTGGTGGCTCAAGAGTGTGAATGTGATCCTCTGCGTGTACAACGCGGCCCGGCTCGGGTTGCTGGCAAATGACTGTATTGGCAACCCAGGGCTCATCGAGAATTTCTTGCATAGTCGCACGATCCTTCACCTTGATCTCCAGCATGCGACCAATGATGTGACGACTTTCGCGAGGGAGCAGGCGCAAGATCCTCCAGGGACCTCTTATGACCTCTTTCTTGTCGGCTGGTTGCTGGCCGTCAGACTTAGTCGAAGTCTGCGTCGAGCTGCCCTGTGCTGCACTCCCCTCGCCGTCCTTGGGAACTTCCTTCTGGTTCTCCTTCTGGCTTTCTTTCGGCTCGTGCTTGTGAGTATGATGCTTGCCGTCCTCGAAAATATCTCTCTGAGGAGTGTTGGAGAGGTCGTTGGCAGACTTTGACGGCATAATCAGCTTTCTGGGGTCGTGGCCTGGTGTTGGCTCAGCAGCGAAAAGCTTGAACGAGTTGTCCGTCATGCGAGGGACCTTCCACGGAAATCTGCGCAATGTCATACAGCAAAAGATAATTGCCAACGACCAAATATCGACGGCTTGGGGATCATATTTTCGTTCGTCGTAAACTTCAGGGGCCAGGTAGGGGTCGGAGCCCACGATGCCTATAATCAATCAGCAAATACGTCGAAGCAAGTTCCAATGGGCAACTAACCTGAAGCGAGGACAATGTCGCTCTCGAAAGGATACTTGTAAACGTGGGCACTACCAAAGTCGATGATTTTCATAATCCCATGCTCACTGACCACGACGTTGTCAAGCTTCAAATCCCGATGAGCAAGACCCATGCTGTGTAAATATGTCACACCGTTGAGGATCTGCAAGAAGCAGCAGCCGACTTCCTCTCGTGTCATCTTGCCAGTCATGACACACGCGAAAAGGTCAAACGGAGCGTACTCCATTACCTCGTACCACTTGCCCTTCTCCTGCAGAATATCCAATGTCTCGATAACATTGCCATGGTGTAGAGTTGAGCCAACGCAAAATTCAGCTGTCAGCTTCTTGACGTACTCTTTCTCGGTTTCATATGAATGTCTCGGTCGGAATTCCTTCACGGCGAAAACGACACCGTCATCACTGCGCTTCATCAAACGAACAGATCCTCCAGCACCCGATCCCAGGACTCTGCCGAGCTTTCCGTACTTCGAAGTAAGTCCGTGGTCGTCTCCGAAGGGAACATGTTGCGACCCTCTAGTAGGGGGTGTCTTGGTGCCTGATCGAACCGATGATGGGGAAGCTTCCCTCTTCATCTTGTGGTGTCCGCCAACCTTGAAAAACCTCTTCAGGTCGGCAAAGGAGCCTTGTCTGCTCGTGATGCTAGCCGAGTCATCGTGAGGAACCTGCAGCTCGTCGCCATGTCCCTTCATGCCCAAGAGCCCGGAGTGTCGTTTGTCGCTTACTCGGCCCAGACTTGAGGTAGAACCAGATGGCGACGACCCGTGTTTGTTTTTCCGGCGCGAGAAGACGAATCTAGAATCGATCTGGCCCCGCTGAGGAGCCGGAGCTGGTGGTTGACGTTTGTGAGCCGCATAAGGGTCGTTGGCATCTCCGCCTGGTGTCATCGGCTTAGAGTAGTACAATGAGGCCCGAGATGGACTAGATTCTCGCGAAACCGGCACTGATCCTCCAGGACCAACAGAGAACATTCCCCTCCTATGCGACCTCGTGTCGTGTGGTTGGTCTTCTGCCGAAGCTGATCGCTGAGGTACCTCCTCCGTCGACTTGCCTCGGACGGGCAACTCCTTCCTGGTAGATGATGGTGGTGAGTCCTGGGAGGACGAAGCCTGCGGGGTGATTACATGGGGGTCGCTCGTGGATGATTTGCGATCGTCATTTTGATCTCTACTCTTCCTGGCTGTCAGGTCTGAGGGATCGGTCCCCGCCGGGGTCAGAGGAGGTGACTGCATCGGATGCGCCGGACCAAACCGCGGTGATTTCGGTCCGCTGGAGTTCGGGGTTGGCAGTCGACTGTTGTCGGATTCCTCCTCTCGTGAGCCAACCTATAGGTGCCGGTGGTTAGTAAGAAGTAAGGTGTACAGGCTGGCGCGTGCGATGCAATGGCCGAGTGGTGTTGTCATGACAGATTGGGGGGTAAGTGGGATGAGCATGAGACTGATCATTGGAGGTTCCGACGAGGAGCTCCATCGAGAAGAAGCCTCGGATGATTATAGCGAAGACGAGGTGAGATGTTGGGGGAAAACAAGTCTGAACGTCGAGGCAGTGTTGGTTGGGTGGAGGGGTAGGTATGAGACTTTGAAACACAAGGCATCAGGACGCACGCCCATGCCAACAGGAAACAACGTCAAGAAGCTCCGAGACCGCGCATAAACTAGAGAGTTATGACGGAACAGACTACTTACGCGTGATGCAGGTAGTGAGTATGGTTCGAAGCCAAAGACATTCATCCGGCGCTGCTGCAACGGTGCACCTTGAAGGGACTTGGAGAGAGCTCTAATTTGATCGGGCGTTACTTCGGCCAAGGACTCTTCACCGTCTCCGGTAGCGGCATCGGTGGGAGAAAGAGTCTCGGTGGGTGATGTCGTGGTGACGGCTGGTGTTATCTCTTCGACGGAAGAAGCGAAGCGGACGGCGGGAGCATCTTGAGGGGGCATATTGTCGTCTTTGTGGAGATTTGGGTTATCTGGAGGATTGCGGGTGATTTCTAGGCATTGCGCACAGCGGTCAGCACAAGACGGGATCTGCGTTGAGGATAAGATACAGGCTTGGGGTATGAGCGTAGGTGTGAGAGTGAGCGTGGACATGGGACATTGGGCGAGTGAGTGTTTGTTTGACTGTGATATGCGCAACAGACGAACCGAGGGCGGGGTTGCGCGCGCCGGAACAGACGGAAGGATATGGCGTTTGTACCTGGGACTTTGACGTCCTCTTTCTGAGGATCGCGGGCGGGAGACGGAGTAGCCATGGGCTTGGCTGTAGCTGCGGGCGGTGACTGTTTGTCGTCTGCAGCTTCTCTGGAGTCGAAAAAGGACGATGATGACAACGGATGGCGGGGAAGAGGAGCGAGAGGAAAGAAAACCAAGACCAAACAACGACAACACGAAGGGCCGGGCCTGGGAAAGAGAAAAGTACGGATACCCAGGACTAGGTGGATGAGTGAGGTGTGGATGCCAATTGCGGATGGTGGGGCACTTTGAGATGCACTAAGACTAAGAGTCAATGGAAGTACCTAATCATTGCGTACCTGATGGGAAGGTACTGGTCAAATGCACGGCATGGGTACTAACGGAGTACCTAGACGTTGCAAAAAATCGAAGGTCCTTGCCGGAGGGTCTCTCCCTTGGCTGTGATTTGACATGTGTTGTTCAACAGCGTTGTCGCATTCATCTCACTTCTTTTTCTGTACTGACCTGGCCCAAGAACGAGGTCACCTAAAGAGACATTGCCGGTATGTAGACACCGGGACCCGAGGAGAAAATATGATAGTGAGAGCCCGAACCCGGTGCAGATACGTATCGCGGAATCTCGAGTGCGCTGTTCACGGGTCCGTCTGACCTCCCGTAACCCGTGCCGAGCCAAGTACTATGATCTGGAAGGTATTATAGAGGGGTATACAAAGGTGGGAGGGTCAGCAAGTACACGATACTTGTGCTAAGTGAGTGAGCCTGAAAAGGATGCAATCTGAATGGTCAACTGGATTGTTACCCATTCCTTATCGGGGAAGCGGTGGCCTGGATAAGACACGGTGACATGACACTGGAGCACCAGGGCCGCCGAAAGGGAGCCGAGAAAAGTGAAGGGGGGCGCCACTGGGCTGGAGACTGGAGGTGTTATTTTTACGGCTTGGGAACGGGAGAAATACTTGGCAATACCCCCCAAAATCATGGATGCATTGCGCGTATCTGCAGCAGGAACCCGGCCCAAGGAGAGAAGGCCCTTGCCTGCCCTGACCCCATGGCAGCTCCTGTCCCTGTGGTGATCGGAATCTTCTATTTTTTTTTCTACCTCATAACCAGCCGGTTCTAATTTTCTGGACTTGTCCTTTAATGGTCCCTCGGTGATCGGCTTTTTCCAAGATCCCTCCCGAGAGTGCCTTCACCTCAGACCGCCCGTCCGTCTTCAGAGTGCCCCCAATATGCGCCGGGGGTCGGTTTCTCGGCTTCGCATCCGTGACACATGCGACAGCTGTGAGGCGTTGTTATTCGGCGGCTCGGCGGTACCTGCTGGTAACATGTTAACCGTTTTTACGAACCTCGCAGCACACCAACGAAGACTCATCCATGGATGTTGATGGTTTTTGCCTGCTTCGGCCGCGGCCCGATCTCCACAAGGCCGATGACTCTTTTAATTCCTCGCGCCTCTTGAAAAATCTTTTCTTTTGGTTCAGGCTCTTCATTCCGCCGACGGTAACCAGGGCATACCCGTCCACAAGGTCAACGAACGCCAATGCGCGCCAGATGATTCGACAATGCACCTCTTGTCTAGGCCGGGACGAACGAGTCAAGCCTGCTAGAAAACAAAAGCACACCAATCCCAAGTCGTCTTCGCCCTCCTTCAGGCTTCAACATATGAACAACAGATTACCTATTACCTCTGTGAAGGTTGAACGCACATCCGACGGCCCACCAAAAGAAACCCTCGTCGCTCACCGGCTTCTACGAGCCGCGAGGTCTAGCTCTCTGTCAGCTTCCGGCAAGTAGGAGTCAAGACGGGGGTTACGATGGAGTGATGGACAGGAACAGACGGAGCTTTGCTCCCCATCTTCCCCAACTGCCCACTAGCCCGAGACTCACTTTCAGAGCACATGCCGAGACGTACCTTAACTGGCCTACCTTCGTCCCGCCCTTCCGCCCTACGAACACCGCCGCATCTCCGGTCCCAGACCGACGAGCCCAGCTGCCCCAGCACAGTGGCGTGGTTGCTGATGTGTTGCACCTGCAGCATGAAAACGGCCACTGTTCCGTCACATCACCGGCTTCGAATCGGTCCCACACTGACGAGGCTTGGAGGCGCTCTTGCAGATGACAGGCTGCTGATGATGGAGCCCTTTATCCAGGCACGCTGCAAAAGAGGACCGCCTTCCAGGGGCACCAGGTGGGAAAATCTCCATCGGCATGGCCCTGGCATTGTCTAGATCTGGGCCTGCATTTCGTCGCAACCAGCTGGCCTCCACCGACGGAGCTAAAGCATCTGCCACTGGGACTTGTTACCCAATACTGCACAGCAAGTACCTTCTTGCGCAAGCTTCTTGGAGGAACCGTCGCATTATAGGACAGGCAAGGAACTGCCTACGACACGCTTCACTGACAGTGAAGAGGAAGACGTGTAAGCCTTTCAGTCTCGACAGATTTGTCGATCTCGATTGCGAAGCTTCGAGAGACATTGAACCATCTCTTCCCCACCGATGTGCTGGCTTTGCCGCTTGCATATCAGTTCTAGACCGCTGATCGCACATTTGACTTCGGAACGACCTTGTCAACTATCCCCCAATCCTGTGGTTCAGCACGACACAATGAGACTTTCCCCTCACACCATCTCAATTCGACATACAAAGTTCTGGCGGGCCATGATCCAATCCGCCCGGCGACTTACTCAAGCAGGCGTGCAACAATTGGCATTTTGTCATAATCTCTTGGTTCTACATCGATTCTTCCCTTCCGAATCCTTAGACAACGGCCAGACAGCTAGTCGTTTCGATCTCCCACGGACGGTTGGCGTACTCGCACTATCGTGCGCAAGTAGAAGCGTGAGAACGGACTTCGCCTCAAAACGAGACATATATTCAACGTCACTGCTCAGTTGGGACTTCTGGGGCGCATGAAGCATCCCTTCAGGCGTGCCATGTTCCGACCACGCGGCGCTAGTGTATGAATAGTTTTTTTTGTCACCGTGCTCTGCCTTTGCTTGGCGGTTGAGATTCTCATCGTACAGTGCCTCCTGTCTGCTATGATAACGTCGCCTCGTCTCGATCCTCTAATAATTGTACATGGGCACGCTCTTCTTCGTTTGAGATGGTATACAAGTGGATGCTTTCTTTCCGCGCCTGACTCCGTTTTTATACGTGGTTGAAAATAGACTGTTGTAGGACACGTGCTCTATGGCACGACGTTGATACCAATGGACTTGCACTGGTAGATGACGGAGCGGCAGATGGCCTCGAGGCTGAGACCCGATAGACGCATTTCCGTCTGCTTGATCTTGGCGATCTCGTATACGTGCTTCAAGCTGACGGTGCCGACCGTCTCCTTTCCGGGGTTGGTTGCGCCCTTCCGCTTGCCCTTCTTGCCGACCGGCACCTCGGCGGCGTTGAGAAGAAGCCAAGATGTGTGAGGTGTGCGGATGTCAAAGTGGAATGATCGGTCGCCTCGGACAGTGACTCGACAAGGCATCGGCGTGCCGGTGATGATGTGTGCTGTCCTTGCATTGAACTCCTATCGATTGAGCAAAGACACGTTAGCATTGATCTCAACCATGGCATAACCAACCCCTTAAAAGCACAGATGTTGGGCAGAGAGTGGCATGTGTTGCTTCATCAGAGTCCCAAGGGCAAGTCTCACCTTGCAAAAATCCATCGACTTGACACCCTTGCTACCCAGCGCAGGACCAACAGGCGGACTCGGGCTGGCCTGCCCGGCGCCCACGATGAGCTTCACGACCTGGTCGGCAACTGTCGCTCCTCTCTTGGACATGGTGACGGATATACAGACGAGTCTGCTCGTTGGGGAAAAGGGGGGTGACGGGTGGGTGGTGATGGGCAGGTATATTGCACCGCGCGACAGACAACCAAGATTCAATCAATCAGACCTGATGCTGCACCTTTTCGGAGGTGGAAAATTTAGGAGCCTTGGAGCACCAGCCACGCGCCAAAGGTCCAAGCGACCGGGATGCTCGGGGGAGCGCAGGATCCACCCTGGTCGCATTAGCCACAGTTTCACCGTCATTGGGTCGTGGGATGACCCCTCGGCCCCTCCGCTGGCTCTTGTTTGGGGCGGTCAACTCAACTTCTTCTCAACTCGGTTTTCCTCTTAAGAACACCACCAAGAAGCTTGTTTCTCTTGTTACCCGTGTATAGACCTGCTGCATTTTACCGCCATCGACGACCACCCTTTATACCCCTCCCGTTTCCATCCGTCGTCACCCGTTCACGCGTCCTGCCGTCAACATGTTCAAGTGGGCGCAACAAAAGTAATTAGTGTTTGCCGTCCCTCAATGTTGCGTCAGCCAAGGCTAACCTTTTGATTCTGCCAGGCTCGCCGATGTGGCAGGTACCCAAGAGCCCATCTACGGCCCAACAGCTATCAGATCCGTCGCCGAAGAGGCCAAGACGACTACCCACACGGAGACCACCAAGGATGACTTGAAATGGATTGCGGCCGACTCGACCTCTGTTGAGACGCAGAGCTTCTACCTCATGGGTGACAACGGACACCTTGGGCTGGCCCAAATCATCTACAGCAACGTTGGGTATGGGATAGCTTCCTTGTCTTTCACACCTGTCTCTTTATGCTGACCCTATGTTCAAACAGTGGCATCCGCACAACATGCCAGTTCAACGCCAAGATCTTCTACCCCAACAAGTCGAAGCCGACGCTCTGGGAGACCACACAGCTCAGCCACTACGAGGTGAGCGAAGACCGGATGTCCTTCTACGCCGATGACTGCGCCGTCGAGCTGTCCGAGGACGGCACCTACTACACGATCAAGAGCATGAACTCGGAGAACGCCATTGTCAACCTCAAGGTCACCCGCATGTCGCCCGGCTTCCACGCTGGCAAGACGGGCAAGACGCTGTTCGGCACCGACATGTCGAAGCCCTGGGGCACCATGCGCCACGCCTTCTGGCCGCGCTGCATCACCGAGGGCACCATCACCACCAAGGACGGCGCCGTCGACTTCAAGGGTCGGGCCTTTTACGTGTACGCGCTGCAGGGCATGAAGCCTCACCACGCGGCGGCCAAGTGGAACTTTGTCGACTTCCAGGGCCCCAACTACTCGGCCGTCATGATGGAGTACACCACCCCTCCCTCGTATGGTTCGACCACGGTCAGCGTTGGCGGTATCGCCAAGGACGGCGAGATGATTTACGGTGGCGTCACGCAGACGGCCAAGCACACCAAGGCGAAGAACGATTCCGTCAACGAGTGGCCCGAGCCCGAGGAGATCAAGTTCACTTGGTCCGGCACGGACAAGGATGGCAAGGCCGTGGAGGGTGTCATTGAGGGCCCTCTGGGCGAGAGGCTGGACAGAGTGGACGTACTGGCTGAGGTCCCCGGCTTCGTCAAGAAGATAGTAGCTGGCACGGCCGGCACCAAGCCGTACATTTACCAGGTAAGTCCCCGGGTCGAGCCCCTAGTGGCTCAAGGAACCAAGCTGACAATGATTACAGTACTGCCCGACAGAGAAGAAGCTCACTTTGAAGCTCAAGATTGGAGACCAAGAAATCTCCGAAGAGGGTCTCTGCTTCAGCGAGGCCACCTTCATCTCCGAATAGACGTATGGACAATGAAACGACGGCGATGAAATTCTTGGGTAGTTGTTGCCGGTCTGGTTAGGCGTTCAGATGGGGGCTATGGTCACTCGTTGAGTTGGGTACGCATACTTGTTCTATAAAGTTGTTCTAATACAAATACACACTTTCAACATTCTGAATATGTCGTGCAAGTTTCTGATCACTGAAAATCCTGTGCTCCCGCGGCCAGCATAGCTCCTCGTGCCAAAGTGCTTCAGCTCTCAGCTATCCGAAAGCTGGGGCATCACATAGACCCCGACCCCGACTTCAGAGTTTCTATCTTGAAACAAGACATATGACAAACATTCGCCGGCAAGTTCCCTGCACCTGCATTGCGAGCGATGAGTTTTGACAGTGTGTGGTGTGTGGTTCTACGGTGTTTTTGCACGGGGCAGTTCAGCACGGGCCATGTTGAGCCGATAAGACTCGCGACGTGACCGATAAGGCAAGGCAGAAACGTCCCTGCCGCACCTGTCTCCATTGGATCGATGGCAGGTACCTACCTACTGCGCAGTAAAGTCCACTGCCCTGCATCCAGTGCTTCTATTGTCTCTGGGTACCTCAAAACCTCCTTAGCTTACGGTTATTCCCCCACATAATCGCTGCCAACTCCCCCGTCCCAAGTCCCCAACAACAGTCCCCAAGCGGCGCGTCCACCCACCCACGGATCCTCACCTTCACCTCCCAGTTCGGCGATTCACGATCTAAAAGAAAGCACCAGCAATATTTCTCATTCCACAGTCTACACTGACTTCATCACTATTTCACCATGCCGCCCGCGCCCGCATTTCGCGGCGGCCCGTGGGCCTCGAGCTCCGGCGGCAAGCGCGGCACCGCTTCAAAGGTGCATCAAGGCGGCAAGGGCAAGACTGTGCTGCAGAACGCGGGGACCGGTGCAAAGAGACACCGGTAAGTGGTCTCCTTTTATCGACCTTCACTTACGGCAGGTGAGATTCGGCTACTGACTAGGAGAATTAGAAAAATCATGAAGGATTGTATCCGGGGTATTAGTATGTTGCACTTGACTCAGTTGACGGCTTATACACACTTGGATTTGAGGAGCTGACCCGGATTACTCGTTTAGCTAAGCCTGCTATTCGGTATGTTTTTCTTCCTTGATTGCAGGAAGTTTTCTCCTTGATCGAGAATCCCTGAGGCTCCCGGGTGAGGCGGATGGTCTCGGGGTTTCCCTGAGATGAGGGTGATGAAGGGGACTTGAGTTGAGCTCTTCCTCGATCGAATCTCATTTCAGTCTCATCACGCACATCATCATCCTCGCCCACTTCACCTGCGTCTCTCTACCATGGCGGCTACCTACACCTACCTCCTTCCCCCTTCCCTTTGAGAAATAATTTTCAAGCTAACTGCCTTCTCTCACTTTAGTCGTCTAGCTCGTCGTGGCGGCGTCAAGCGGATTTCCGCCATGATCTACGACGACGCTCGTGAGGCCCTGAAGACCTATCTCGAGTCTGTAAGTACACACTCTCACATAAACCGAATTCTGCTTGTTTGTTTTTAGCTTCATGAAATGCTAACGAGTTACAAATAGGTCCTAAGAGACTGCGTGACATATGCGGAGCATCGGAAGGCGAAGACTATCACTATTCACGATGTAAGTCTCATGACCTGCCTCCGTCAGATTCTAGTGGCAGGGCCGGCGTTGTTCTGTGATGATTGGTATCTGAAGTTTCCCTCCCCTTAGGTCTTGCATGCTCTGGCCCGCAAAGGCAAGCCTATCTACGGCTTCGACCCCGATACCTTTGTCGACCCGAAGTCGCGCAAGGCAAAGACAGCAGGTATCAAGGATTGAGAGGGTTGGCCGGTTTACCTCCTCTTGTGTCTCTTCAAGCTTTAGACAGGCAAGATGTGAGTCAAAAACGCCAAAAAGGATTTCCACCATCAGTCAGAAAAGCGTGCCATCACCACAGCTATTTGTTGGACCTTATCACCCTTTCTCGGTCCTTCTTTACTTGTCTTGTGAGGTATAGGCACCTCTGGCGTTTACGGTTGAAGCGAGTATGGACGAGAAAGGACTACGGAACAGGGATATGTGTGTGTCTCACTTTCTTTCTGGATCCCGACGTTGGGGTTATGAGGCCTCGCAAGAGAGGATCCTCGATGGTCAGGAGAATCTCGCGCGGGGATGCGCCAAACTTATCGACCGCCTGAAACGACGGAGGAGAGAGATATCATGTCATCGCGAAGAAAAGACTGAATGAAAAGGGTTTTGGAGACTCCTCTCTGGATATCCGAGCCTCAGGAGGGAGAAAGGAATGGACATCCCGTGCATTGTCAGTTCTCGATCCTGGGCACGTGAGCAGACAAAGTCAGTAGTATACGGCGTCAGCGAGAATGAAGTGAGATTTTATCGTGAACCAGCTCTCGGCGGAGCGCGGGATGAGCGCATCGAGACGACCAGTCGTGAATGATGTAAGCCATGTCGAGGCAATCTAGATCTTTTCTAGTTTGGGATGTTCGAGTCGTATATTGACATCGGATCGTGACTGAGACTAGTTTCTGGGTAAATGGGAGAGATTGAGCGTCATGACTTGGGAAGCCATCAGGATTCGTGCTTCAGCTGCCCTGTCTGAGTAGCCAACTGTCCTCAGTGCATCCCGCTATGAAGTGTTATTTGTAGTTGATCACAGAACGGCTGCAAGTTTTCAACCATACTTTGTTCGCCGCAGTCCAAGAAAGTGTGAACAGATAGATACGTTGCCAAACGAAGGGTTTATATTAGGCAGCAGGAGGGAAGGGGACGGATGATCTGCGAGGACCTCTCTCCCACTCTTCCCTCTCCCCAAGCTGCACGTCTAGTGATATCTTCTTACCGCGTCCACGTCTCCACGCTCTTCAACGGGAAGGGTGTACCACGAAGAACTCTCGACTCCCTCCCCAAATCTTTCCGCTCTATACAAATTGTATAATCGCCACCCGAGGCGCCCAGTGTAAAGATGAAAAGCCGTTTGATATAACGAGGGGTATCGTTTGAAAAAGATGAGACAACCAAAAAGATAAGAGAGATGCCCGCGGGATCCTACACCAGTGACGTGTCAATGACACCTGGCCCGTCGTTTCCCGCAGCTCTAGGGTATAATTGTAACCAATTTCCATCGACCGTCCCTGCCTAGTTGTCCGAAAGGAGGGAACAACAGAAGAAACTCACACACGCGCGCGAACACAACAAAGGTTGCGAATAAATGGGTAGTAGCAATACGAGATAGAACAAATGTCTGTTGTGTTCTTTAGATGGAGAAGTGAGACGGCGACGACGACGACGATCTTCACCTCTTCTTCTTGGTGAGCTCCCGCTCAGCCAACACGCCATCGAGTGTCTTGGCGGCCCAGCGCTCGCGCTTCCTGAACACGCCGTTGAAGAACTCGGGCATGACCATGCGGCTGTTGGCGTGCTCGAGCGCGAAGCCGACCTCTGCGTCCTTTCCGCACCGCTCGCGCGTGATGCGGACCGCCTCGTCGAGCATGTCGGTGCCGACGCCTTTACCGCGGTACCGGAGCTTCGTCGTCCAGGCGCGGATGATGCCCTTTCCGCCGCGGAAGCTCGAGGCCTTGTTGCGGCGCCGGCTGCTGAAGGTGGAGGCGACGGCCGGGCTCGCGGGCTCCAGGTGGAGCACTAAGGCGCCGACGAGCTCGTTCCCGAAGCGGGTGCCGAGGACGAGGTCCTCTTCGTCGGCGGAGGCGTCCGGGTGGGGCCGGATGAAGGACCAGGACATTTGCTCGGCGAGGGGCAGGTAGCCGCTCGTCGCCCAGCGGATAGCGAGGAGGTAGGTCATGATAACGCCGCTGAAGAGGGTGAAGGCCAGGCCGATGTCGCCTTGGCGGGCGTAGGAGTACTGGTAGGCGACGCCGAGGGTCGCTGTGAGGCCTGCGAGCGGGACGGGGTGGAAGACGAGTGAGTAGGCGGCCTGTTGGCGCTGCTGGGCGATGGAGTCTGCTACGAGGTGGAGGGCTTCGGCCTTATCCTCGCGGGTGGAGAGGACCTCGAGCGACAAAGGAGGGATGTCGTCAAAGGGGTCGAGAGTCTGAGATGTTGCCAGCGGAGACGGGGCTGCCGGGCGGTGGGTATTGGAAGCCACCGTAGGCTGGAGGACGGGTGTGTTGGTGTTGGATGACATGGCGGATGGGTTCAGGACCAAGTTGGCGCGGAGAAATGTGAAGAAGGCTGGATAGACTGGTCAGTTTGCTTTCGTCGTGATGCCGGGTCCAAGTTGAGAGCATTAATGAAAGCCAAGTGGAAAGAGGGAGAAAAAAAAAAGAAATGTGGTCATGTAGTGAAGTGACTTGCGAGGTTGTGACAGACAGGATGAAAAGCTTGTCAATAGTTGAGATGAGATTTTTGTGTTCCACGTCCTCTTCTGGATTGGTTCTAGAGCACCGAGAGGCCGATGACCGTGAATGTGGCCGAAACTTTCGGCGCTTTTGCTGCACGTTCTGAAAAAAAGCCAGATCCCCAAACGATCCTGCCGGAGCGTTGGAAAATGAGATTGGATGAACTTGATGACGATGTTCGGGTTTTGGTGTAGGCGGTATGATTGAGTTGTGAAAGAGACACACAACACGAAGTGAGGTCGAATGAAAATGCCAAGGTGAGAGGAGAGGTAACGTTGAAGAATATGTGGTCAAGAAGAATTGATTTAAAGAGCCGCAGGGCAGAAGCGCAGGGAAGACGCAACGAGAAACCAAATGAGGGAAGAGGGAAAAAAAATCGTGTTAACTCTTACCTGCGCTTGTCTTGATTGCGGGGACCGCATGATTGAAGGTATCGGTAAGGGCATTGTGAGAGTGCCAGTTGCTCACATTGAGCTCGCGAATGCCCATGTGGTGTGGTGAATCCATCTTATTGGCCCGTTGGTCTAGTCGACTTGACGACCCAGTTTCGTTGCTGGCTGTCCGGTCCTAGAAGGAGAAATCGGTCGCTTATTAGGCGGGCAATTGTACGGATACGTCTCGTCTTCTGTTGGGGGCGGGTTTGCCGTCAAGACTAGGGAGAACCGCCGGTAACAGGGAATAAAAGACGCCGGCTCGGGGGTGGTTGGAAATTGGAGAGTTGGGGCTGGTTGAATTCTTAGTGGCGGCAGCTGGCGACAGACGATGGTAAGCGCCGCCGCGAAGCTCAAGATGGATGGTGGTCTCGTGAGGTCGTAGAGTGGAAAGAAGAGAGAGGACCCTGTCACGGGAAGGGGGCTGCAACATGGATCGATGGGTTCCGTCTCTCGTCTATATATCCTCCAGGGTTGGCCAGGTTCCTTCGTCCAAAGAAGGCCCCAAATACGTCGTTCGTTCGTGTCTTTGGCGTCGGCGTTGGGGGTGGCTGGAATGTCCAGGGAACAGAGTTGTTGGTGGCCGTTGCGTTATGCCCTTGGGTATTAGTAGTATGGTGGTTTATCGCCGGTAAGGTTGGTCTGGTCAAGGTCTGTGGTGCCTGGGTCTTGGACTGTGTCTGTTGGTTTTGAGTCGGCCGTTGGACTTGCACACAGACAGGTATCTGTAAGATGAATCGCCCGCGCACCCGTCGTCGGGGATCCCGTCCCAAAAGTGGCTGGTGAAGGGGGCTTGATGAAGAAAGAAGCCAGGGGAAGAGGGAAAGAAACAAAGCTCGGAAAAAAGGATTAAATAGAGAGTAAGAAGGGTCTTGTGGTATTTGTTACTTTGTTACTTGACCCCCGTTCCTTCGTCCAGCAAAATGGGAAGACTAATAAGTGGGAAATGAAGAAGAAAAAGGCTTGAGACCTTAAAAATCTGCAGGAAAAGGAAAATTTTGAAGAGTGGGTGGACTTTGGTTAAGTAGGATCGGTAGGCGTGGGCTGGACAGGACAGGACTGGACAGGCCCGGGGATGGATGAGAGAGAGCTGCGAGCACTGATCAATGAGCAACGAGCATGGAGCATGGGATGGGATGGATGGGGAATCGGGATGGGCATGGGAGAAGGCCAAAAAAAAAAAGAAGAGAAAGATTGTCGTCGTGTGCGCGTGCGAATGGGAACCTCCTTCAAACCAAGCTTCGAAACGAAGTACCTCCGCCGCTAGACGTTAGACGTACGGCACAGCCAAGCTACTTTGGGTCTCTTTTCCTTCAGCTCGAACCGGGGCTGCTTGCTGGTAATAGGTATTGCTACTCTTCTGTCCCTCTGCCTCTTATGATTCTTAACCAGGAGACCATGACCGTCACTCTGGAAACCTCACCCCCCAACCCAACCTGGAAGTGTCATGTATCTCTCTTCTTGCTGCGCCGGTTTTTTTGTTGGTGGCTTGATGCATGTGGGTGAGCTAGAGGTGAGGTATACCGCATGTTACCGCCATATCAACCCTAATATCCGTATCATCGGGTCGGATGGCACCACTGGTTGGTTGTTTCTGCGCTCTCTTGGCTCCTCTCTCCTGTCTATCTCTTTCCGCGGTGACGCCAGTGGTTGGATGCATTTGCAAGAGATACATGGAGACGCACACACACACACACGCACACTCTCTCTCTCTCTCTCTTCCTCCATGTCTTTCCGTCTCTTCTTCCTCACCCTCTCTCCCGCTGTATCTCTCTTTCTCAGACACATACTGACAGACAACCCCCCGGTCAACGTGCTTCTCGCGCCAGAGCCAGTGTCGCGCGTGCGGCGTGCTGCTGGGACCAGCAGAACCTAGGATGGTGATGGCAAGGGCTGGGCGGTGGGAAGGATTGCAGCAAGCAGTAACAGCTACTGCAAGAAGCAGGGCAAGCCGCAAATCCGCACCCGCCGTCTTGCAGATTTCTGATAAGGGTCCCCCCTCGCCGAGTGCGCGTGTCACCCGTGTCACCGTGTCTCCGGAGCTTCTCACAGGCTCGATAAGGCGGAACCATGGGAACGCCAATCATGACTGGCGGGGCCGCCGCCATGGCTTGTCAAGCCCAAACAAGGCGGCGAGCGTGCTGCCAGCGTCTGGGACCAACGGACGGGGTTCTTGGCTCGGCCGGAGAGTGGGTGGTGGGGGGAGCAAAGACTGAACAGAGTGAGAGACTGACAGACTGTGACCTTGCCCAGACCAAAGGGGGTGGTGGGGTGCCCAGCCTGGTGGAGGGGTCCTTGTCAGTGAGTCGAGTGTCAGGATCCGATCCAACGCGACGTGACCCAATGCATCATGGATGTGACTTGCTCCCTAGCCTCCTCTCAGGCTCCTCCCATCCCCCCCTGGTAGTGGTAGCGTAGCCCAGAGCAGCCGTCCCCTAGCCCCCCCGGTCTCCAATCGACGGCCTGGGCCCAGATTCTTTCTCCGAACCATCGTCTATTGTTTTTTTGGCGTCTGTCTAGATGTGATGGTCTTTGATGCCATCGGTTTCGAAGAGTCGTCATTCGTTGCAGCTCTTTGCTGGCAAGCAATCAGAGGGGAGCTATTGGCGATGCACAGGCCATGGATTGCGTACATATCTTTCGCGTCCTAGTTCTACGAATAGAGAGATGAGAAGTAAGAGGAGGTAGGTTAGGTGAGGTCGCATAGGTATCTCTCTCATACTCTCACCTCGCACTCTTTCACATTTGCCCTTCCGACATTTTTTCGATATCAGAGTTTCTTGGGGTTAGGCGCGGCGGACTTGGCAAACGGGTGGGTGACATTGCTTCAGACCGCAAGGTTGCTGATTGTCGATTCTGCAAGATGCTGTGTCTCTGGCGTAACTCTGTGAAGCCCCCGAAAAAACAGCTGAAGGTGTGCTGGTAACCCAACTTGGTGGTGTTGGAACTGGCACCACTGACTGACTGGGTTCGTGGTGGTGGTTGGGTGTTGGGGCCTCTTTCTTGGGTGTGGATAGCATGGACCAACGCCATTTTGAGGGTGGTGGTGGGATGAGTGGGATGGGATTGGACTCATTGGATTGGATTGGATGTCTTGGAACTGATAGCGAATTCGCCCGGTAGGCTGGCAGCAGAGAGAGCCAGAGAGCCAGCGAGCGGCTGGTCCGGCCGAAGAAGAAGCAAATCTGTCGACTCAAGCTCGACATGGGCAATGCTGCGAGTGAGGCAAGTTGCAGCTCAAGCTGCAGCACGCGAAAAAAAGGTTTGATTGCGGGCAGATCAATCAGCTCAGTTCCATTACCTACACTAAAGTAGGTAGTTGCTCGCTCTTTCCCGATGCCGTGGCACGTACGGATGTACTATGTATCTCTCTTGCAATGGCAAGTTCTCGTGGTCTGCAACTTCCTCGGGATTCACGCACGTCGCTGATTCAGTATCCATACCTTTCTTCAGCTTACAAAGTACCCCCTCGGATTGTCCTTGCCGTCAATAAACCAAATGACGTGTGCCACGGGGATCACAGCGGGGTGAGAGTTTCTGCTTTTGATTAACACGATGACTCGAGTTCTCTAGAGCAATATCAAGAAGAGAACTCAGTTTCAACCAACAATCAATATCGACACCGGCTCATCTAGGATGTAAAGTACTACCTACTATGAGCATCTGCCCTACAATGTAGTTTACGGAGTAGGTGACGTTCACCCAAGAAAGTCTCACGCCTTCAAATTGACCTCCCCCCCTCTTCTCCCCCAGATTGAGCTTCACAAGCATCCACCAGCAGCAACATCCTTGCCGGGCGCGAATCACGGCTAACCCGCACCACCAGTTTGCTGCCCTTTTCTTGCTTTTACTCCCTCTATCCTTACCTGGTTATCCGTATTTGCTGTCTGTTCGCCGGATCGCCCGCCAACATTCAATATCTAAAGTCCGTCCGCCGCCGAAGGGGGAATTGACCGGTCGTTCACGGCTGATCAAACTACTGCCTTATCTCGTGAGAAAATGCAACGCTGCAGAGTAAGAAAGACGCGAACAAGATAAGAAGAGCAGCGCCGCGCCTTGCATAATGGCGTGCCGCATCATCTTCGCGAGGCCAATTAGACAAAGATTCGAGGTGATAAGGTTGAATTCTCCGGGGCACAATCAATCCAAGGCCGTGTTGCCGCATCATTCTCAAAATGGCTAGCCAAGTAATATTGATGTTGACTTTTTGGTTAACCTTTCTATTAATGTGTCTAAATGTGACCTCAAAATTTCCCCTGCTCAAATACCACGCATCCAAGTATCCGTACTCCGTACCCCAAAGGCTGTATCCCTCGAGGTACCTCAGCCTTCTGAAATTCCCCAAATGCACGGCTTATCGACAACTGCCCTAGACAAGGAACCCATACTAGACTGAGCCGGTAGCAAGCGGGGAAAGCAATGTCGTCTGCCCAATGATCCACGACTCGGAGACGATGGAGCAGACGGCGCCTGCCGGGTTGGCGAAACCGGCTACAGTGTACAAGCCGGGCGGGAGGGTGAGGGTGCCGTTGGCCACGGCCGACGTCGTCGGCACGGTAAACGGCGGGGCGGCGGTCGTGGTGAAGCTGCTGACCGTGGTGGTGAGGCTGCCGCCCGGGCCGGTGCTGACGATGGTGCTGCCGACAGTGGTAACGCTGCCGGACGCCGTGGTGGTGCCGCCGTTGTTTCCACAAGTGGATGCTTTTCTTGGTGTTAGTGAACATGCGTCTTACAGCTTCCATCCAACAAGACAAAAAATAAGTAGAAAGGTGGAAACATACCAACAACGGGACCGAGTTGAACGGGAGCGCAGTTCGCTGGGTACGACACGGTCGGGTCAGCAAAGGTAGCATACACCTGGCCCGCCGCGTCCTGGCAGAACCCAGCCTGGCCGCCAAAGAAAGCCGGGTTTGACCAGGTCAGCGCGCCGTTGCGGAGAGCAAAGGTGACGGTGATGCTTCCTGGCGGGCTGATGGGCCGGAGGGGGATGAAGGGCGTCCCCGGGTTCACGGATATGACTGAATTGCCGACGACGAGCTGGCCGAGCGTGTTCAGGCTGAATTCCGCCGCCACGCCGCAGTCGCTGGTGATGGGGTTGGCGGCCGTGTTGATGAAGCCGCCGGCCGTCTGTCGCTTGCTGATGCCGTTGCTTCGCTCACGAAGGGCGGGGATCGAGGGCTGAGGGGACCCGTCGCCGCCGACGAGGTCGGGGATGGCGCTGGCGTAGGCCCCTGCTGCGTAGGATGCGGCGGCCAGGGCCGCGACTTGCTTGAGGCAAACCATTGTGATAGTGATTGTGAGATGCCCAAGATTTACCCCTGCAAAGTGCAAAAACTTGGTGAGTGAAAGAATGGACGAGGGCAACAAAAGCACCGACTAGCTTGATATTGAACGAGTGACGAAACGAGGGTTGTGGAAAGATCGGGCACTAATCAACGATCAGGGTGTCTAAATGGCCGGGAAGGTTTCCGTATATAAGATACTGCAGGTCATGTAAGCATGGCGATGGCCATCGGTTGGAAAGTCCGATGAATGTTAAACACCTGTTCGTCAGTCTGGAATGTGGGAAATGAAGCTCGCGGCCCAACAAGGGACGGGGGATGAAAGATCCATATGGTTCACATTCCTCAACTTCACGAGTGAAGTAGCACAGTTAGAAGGGAAGCCAACGGGAGCAACCATGTGCCTGCCCATAAGAAAGAGCCGATTCTTTGGACTGCCACTGACGGAATCGCTTCCATACAATTACAAGCAGAGTCATATCTCTTCCTGACGCGTTTTCCAGTATCATACAGGTAACCAGATCAGACTCAAAGCTCAAAACGCCAGCTATGTGTCTTCGCGGAATAGGGGAGGCTGAGACAATGGCGCTGGATAATATGAAAAGGCACGTCGTCGACCTTTGAACGTTGGAATTCAAGTATATCAGCCGCAAACAGAGTCTCGGAGGTTAGAGCAGACAGGCGGCCCGGGGCTAGGTAGGCAATTACTCCATTTGGCATTTGGGTATTGTCCACTGTGGTCTCGGCCCGAACAGATGAAAAACACACTGAAGACTTCAGTATCAGCTGTCGAGGCAACGACCGGCTGGTGGTTGATGGTCTGCCTGTAGCATGTTGCTCCCTTTCTTGCGCCAAGCATACCAGGAGGGAATCCATCATTCAGTCTGTACGACTGTTGACTTCGCATGGCATGATGTGTAACGGTTGAGCAAGAATGCGTATAAGTCGCGATGCAGACCAGCTATTGGTCAGTGCCATCAGCCAATGCTTGCTGACTAAAGGAGCGGTAGTCAAGCATCTCTACGAAAAGCACGCATGATGAGTGGCCTTAACTTACGCCTGTCAGCCCCATCCTGTACGACACCGTGAACATTTACTTAAACGCAGGTATCCGTACAGACGAATGCACATGTTGCCATATGGGGGCCAGCATCGTTCTGGCGGAGCTGACCAGTCTCCAGAGAATATGTCTGCAACTGCTGACGTACTCCAGTCGATGTCGACCCCCGTCGAGGACGATTCTGTAACCGATGCCTGCAAGCTGGAATCGACTAAAACAAAATCCCCGCATCTGGGCCACCCCCTGATGGACAACTCAAAGGCAGCTAGCCAAGCCAAGATGTTTTGGCCCGCCTCAAGTTGTGCTCTTATTCGCCCCAAGAAGTTCGCTCGAAGCTATGCGAATATGACACGATATGCAAGTGCTAGCAGAACGGACCGGCGAGTTGACAGCTCCTGGTGCATCGAATTGGGCCCGCCGTAGCCGCTATACGTGATGGTTGGTTTAGAACTCTTCTGGTCCGGGGGAGAACATCTCGAACTCTCGAATCTCGACGACTCAACGGCTCGCCATTGATGCATGTCTAAGCCCCCATCTTCTCTTTGTCGCTCTTTGGGAATCTGATTGGACCGTGTCAGCCTACAACATGAATCCTTAGCTATGCGGTTCAAAGGAACGGTCGAGGGATGCCGTGCCACCGGCGATCCGCCCACATGCCCGATATTTGAAACAGCGGTTAAGTAGCTTTGCCGCATGTATGCTGTGCCCCCTTTGACGATCGCCCTCTGCCCGAAGCATGCCCTTCTTTTGGTCTGGAGTCTGGGCCAAATGGGGCGTCTTCGTGCAGGTTCGTGTCGTGAAGTGCCAAGAATAAGATGCTTCCTTGAAGATAGGTTGCAGCATCTACTTCATACAACATCGTCCGAAAAGGGGCCCGCTTTCCCCTAACAGATCTTCGAAACGCGCGCCCCCCCCCCCATGTCACCATTCGCTGTGGAGCCCATGACGCCGCCTGATGTCGACATAAAGTCGTCGAATTGGGGCGGGCGACGGATTGAGTCGGCGAAGCCGGCCGGGAGTTGCTCTTTTGTAGATATTATCCGAAGCGGCGGGCTCCATCCGGGATTTCCACATGGTCTTTAACCAAGACAGTGATGTCCGACGGTCTTGGGGGGACTCTATGGGACAGCGCAGGTTGCTAGGCTGGACTGCAGGCGTAGATCGCATGACCACGATTGTCTATGATGGTGATGGGAGGAAACGGAATGCATCAAGACTGTCCAGTAATGCATCAGCAATCGAACTTCAGCGAGCGGTGAGATCAAGTAGGAGGGTGATGGTGCGTGGTCCAGGCCACTGAGCGTCGCTAGCAGACGGACTCTACTGTATGGAGACTTGCCGGTTGTCGACTAGGTAAGAGTCTATGAAAATGAGCGATGCCTTGGATGCAGCTAAGAGTTAGCTTTCCAGACCTCCGGTATAACCCGGAAGAGAAGTGACATGCACGAAGTGTCTGCCGTGGTGATCGTGAACTTGGGGCTGAAGGCCGGACGATTGCACGAAGTTGCAAAGCATCTGTGCTAGCCGTGCCAGGGTTGTGGCCTGCGAGGTATGGTTTAGCAGCAGGCCAACCCCAGTTGTGTGGCCCAAGGAGGGAATAAATTGAACGACGGATGACAGAAGACTTGGGACGATTGCCAGCATGATGGTTTCCGACAAGAGAGTGAGGCATCATGTCGTCAAAATGCCGTCCCGTGAGTTCGACATGCCGAGAGTTCTTTCCCTGCGTACCTGCCCTTGAGGATCCTGCCGTCTTCAGTCGGAAAGCAACACTTGGGAAGGTTCCGTCAAAGGGGCGCATTGCTGCTTTCCTTCCTTCACTGCCATGACACTCACACGATAGCCCCGTGCCTGCCATTAAAGGCTTGCAGTGGGAAAGGAAACTTCAGGGGGGGAAACTTCAGGAAAACCAAAAAATATTCAGAGAGTTCAGCTTTTACTTGATCCCGTCTTTCCCGCGAACTCAATTTTCTTCCGACACTTAGCTGAAAGAGTCTGCAGGGACAACAACTTAACGCAAAGTCATATCGCCATCCCATGTGTACGGCGTATACCTACAGCTACACGATACTGCCAGCCGACATTGAGTAGGTACTCTCATCGCTACCTCTCTGAGGCGAGGACATCACGCAGTTGCTTACTCCATCTCTCCTGTAATTCCACGGAGGATTGGTTGCGCCGGCATTCCATCCCTCTAGTGGCTGAACTCCGTGTTCATCAGCACAGCTCAATGTGCAAAGCCACTGCGGCACAGCCTACGATATCATCTCTTGACTACGGATAGCCCAGGACTTTCGGCCTGCCTCGTATCGGGCTCGGGTTCTGGAGGCTCCGAAAGCCTCAGCGTCCTGCATTCCGCCAATGCTCACCAGTATCGGTTCTCTGACCAATCGTCTATGCAAGCGCACCGCAAGGCGGATAGCAAGGCATTCTACTCCGTACTCCGTACGCTTCAAGCCTGTGTTTCCTGCACCAACCGCGGCTCGCCATCCAGTCATTGGCTGTGTGCCTTGCTGCCTCTGCGCAGCCATCAACACCGTGGTTGGCTAGATGCAGAGCGTTGCCAGGTAATATTTCGATCTCGAGATACTACCAGACTGAGACGGGGGATGATGCCGTCTACCTCATTTCTTGTCGCAAGTGTTGATGAGTGTTAGTCCTATGAGGCTACTACCTAGAAACAGAGGAAGACGAGGCCAAGCCGAGCCTATCCGTGTTCATGACCAGGAGACCTGAACGATTTATTGATTCGAAATCTGTTTGTTGAAAGAACAATAAAAGGTTCCGTGTTGACTCGAAATTGAACCTCACAAGGTAAGGTAATTCGCTAACATGCGCAGCCAAAATCTCACTCCGCCCTGTGACCCTCTGGTCCTCTCACCTTGAAGCCTCGGAGGCCTGCCACCCTGCCTGCTTACCTCACCGTGCCGTCCACTCTACAGAGTACGGATACGCGGTATGGCATTGGATGGCACCCGACCCGCACTGAATGTCTCTTCCCCCCTCTCTGGCGCTCTTTGGCGGGACGGTCTGACCAAAGTTCGCTCCGCAGCACGCACAGCATCTGCCGGTGGCCCGGGAGGAGACCACCTTTTTCAGCCAGTCCCGACCCGCAGCTCAAGTCCTAGGGATGCTACCAAGTCCTGAGAGTCCTACGAGTCTACCTACGACACCGACCAGCCTTGATACAATCTTGCAGGCTTCATCCACCTCATCCTATGGACAGATAAAACCAAAATGGGTGGCGGATCAGTCTCGACCCGTCTTTGACCGTTGCTTTCCTTGCAATTTTGTCCTTAGACTTCCACCTGTCCGTCCTTGGGAGCACCTTGGGCGCACTATGGAGTCCAAGACTTCGCTGTCGCCCTTCGGGGATGACCGCCGTTCGCTGAATCAGAGCCCTTCGCCTTCAGCCCTACGAGCTCTCACCTCGTCCCGCCTCAGTTTCGGCCGCTCACGACGGGACTCTTGCTCCACGAATTCGACTTCAACCTCTTCGGCCCGCTCATCTATTGACTCAACCACCTCGCCATCATGCGTGTAAGTCCGGTTTGCTTTCTTTGTAGCCTCGTAGATCCTGGGCTGAGATGAGAATCGCAGTACTCGTACAGTGAAACCAGACCAATGCGCTCTGCACAGGTTCATAGTATGGGCCGCCGTCCAGCGTAACAAGTCTCAAAAGATGACGGCCACTGATCGTCTCGAATGTCCAATGCTTCGCTGTCGGAAGAGGTTTCCAGACCATGCCGCTATGCTGGAGCATCTCTACGAATGCCCTCAGCTTGGCACTGGCGAGTATTGGTGCTATGAGTGTAGCAAGGCCGAGAAGTTCACCGATGGAAACTGCAAACGATGCCTCGGCCATCCTGGAAAGAGACGCAAGATCATGAGCGTCGCTAAAAACTTCTTCTCATCCCTGGGGCATAAGTCAAGAAATAACC